TTATAACTTATGAATTGCAATTCCCATATCATACAAAAATATGGTAGAACTGTGTGAATGATGTTGAGTGTCATATAGGTTAAACTCCATAATGTTCAGTTAATTAATCAGTCATAAATTGATTTAATAGAATGAAAGTGGCACAATAGTCAAATGCATTATCAATTTTTAGTTTTATTTTCTTCTTTACCTCAATGAAGCTAAGTTGGCTAAATTATCAACTATGTTAGAAAAAAAAACATATATCTCAATTAGGCTTAAGGCTATTAACCCAAACCCAAAAATATGAACCAAATCGACCCAAAATAACTATACCCGACTGGTTTTAGATATAAATAAACTCACCCATTTATAAAATATTTGATACTTGTGAGTATCGGTAATTCCCGGACCGAAGCCATATCTGAATGGGTATCCAAATTGTGATTATTGTGGATAATTTCTGATATTATATGTATTTTTTTAAAGGTTTGTTAGTTTTTTTTTCTGGATTTTCGATATATTTTTCGTGTTTTAATTTTTGTTTTTTAGAAAAAATAGGATAACGGATATTATTCAGGTTTGTGGGTTTTTTTTGTGTTTTTGGATTTGTCTTTAGGTTCTCGGGTGATAAATAATTGGAATATCCAAACCTGAACAATAACCAAAAAATATTGAGTATAATTCGATTCTCTATACTTGTATCCGAATAGACCCAACCCGATAGCGAACCAAAATTCATTCAACACCTATATAGGTATAGACATCACATACCCGATAGATCCGGACCTGATCAAACCCGACATGAATCCGATCCAAACATCCAAAGTTTGAGACCTAATCTTAATTCTCTGATGATGCAAAAAAATTTGTATGTGTGTTAGAGTTACAAATATATTTATAATTCATTTGCCACCAAAAGAAAAGATGATGTACTTGTTCTTTTAGGTTTCACTTTCTCCCAAGTAAATTACTTGTATGCTTTTTTTTTAAAAGACTACATTTAAAAGAAAAAAATTCATCTATAAAATATTTGTTTGGTATAGTTTGCTACTAAACCATTTTCATATTATATACTCTCAATTTTTTTGATCATTTAATCTGATTCAGTTTTATTATATTGGGAACAACACGATACTAACTTATCAAGCTCATCTCACATTTCAAGCTTCAAGATTAAACCTACCAGTTGAAGATCCCGAAAGACGTCACTTATATCCACATAGAACTTTTCATTCGCGGACATTCGAAAAACGTTGAATAGTATTTGCAAATTTGCAATGGCTCAGCTCTGAAAAAAACAGGTGACCAAGTTCATCAAACCCATCATCCTCATCATGTTGAACATCTTCTAGAAATTTCTCTGTCGTTGTAGTAACAGAGTGAAGCTTGGTTTGCTCATAGAATGTATTACTTTGTGATTCCCATTCCTCTTTCAATCTCTCCACTATCTCTCACATCAACTCTTTCACTTCCGATATGTGCTTCATGTCCTCAACTTACACTATTTCTCCTGCACCTTAAGTTTACGAAAGACACATGTTTAAAAATCTTAGAGAGCTCCCCATTAAATTAAGTTGACAATTTTGCTCTTTCAGAGATGGGAATGGGAGGCATGGCAAATAGCATCAATGGTAAAACTTAAGAGAAATTATTAAAAATTGCAGACAAACAGTTGATATGTATGGAGTAGCATACTTTTGATTGCGGTCTTCTTTGCCTCTACGTACTCTATAAACCTTTTATGTAGAGAACTCAGATCAACTTCATTGCCCTGATAAGCACAAAACATCAAGATTAGTGGAATATAGAAACCTTTAGTAACGAATAAAACCACACTGTTTGACATTTCTGCAAATATGTAAAACCGGAAAAGTGTGGATGTAAATACCTAGAAGATCAAGTATCTGATGCTCAGCATATCCATATGGATGAATTTCTCAATGTCAGTGTCATAGGTTAATCTGTTCAAGTCAAGTTGAGAATCATATCACTAAAAATGTTTTTTTTATAAGTAATAAGAAAAAGATTTATGGGACAATATGACATACTTTTCATAGGCTAACCGCCGTATACATGCGTTTTAAATCTCAGTTTAATGATAGCGTTTCTCGGTCGTAGACACTTCATTAACGTCCCATTGCGATCGAAGAGCAGATATACCACAACAAACTGGGCAACTTTTCAGTGAGTTCCACTGGTTAAGATTTGTCCCTCCACACCAATGAAGAGACATTAACTTTCTCAATTCCAGAATAAGAGTAAACCGAGAATTCATTCAATCGTCTTAGTTAGTTCTTAAACTTATGCTAAGGAAATTAAAATCAGTACGCATGTTCTGACCTATCTAAACATTCGAGACACTGAAAGAAATTTGTTAAACACATGTCATACCTGGACCATCTCACTGATGAAGTTAAATCCTCCGGGCCCCAATGATAGATCCTGCTAGCAATTATCCAGTTAGCATATGCATAAGCACAAAATGATTCACAACAATCAGTAGGCCGAGACATCATACTGTCACGTAAATGTATAATTACACAAAATGATTCACAACAATCAGTAGGCCGAGACATCATACTGTCACGTAAATGTATAATTACACAAAATGATTCACAACAATCAGTAGGCCGAGACATCATACTGTCACGTAAATGTATAATGACAGAGACTAAGATTCGCACAAAAACAGAGCGGATGTCCAGCACAAGCAAAGGCGCTGGCACCACAAGTTGCAGATACAACCACCAAGTCTGATATCAGGCTACATGCCATAAGAACACAAATCAGATGACCAATACAATTATTAAATTTCGAGATTTATTTTACTATACCTTGTTGTATGATCAAAATTGTCATCGTATGAAACTACAAATCAGCAAAATAGTGGAAATATAATGAGTAAAATAGTGCTTTTCCGTTGTATGAAACTACAAATCAGCTAATGTGGTCCATCTTTTGGTATAGCCGGTCCCCAAAAAAATATAGCGAGGTCCCCCCCACAAAAAAATAATGTACGATGTCATGCCAACTTTCTAATACCAGCATTCAAGACTTTGCATTATTGAGCACAAAAGAAAAGAGATTATTGAATCATTGAGCATGTCGAGGAGGCACCATGTGATCTGATATCCGATTTCTAACGTTTCTTAGGATAAGATTTAATTCAGGCGTTACACTAGGCCATTTAGCTCGCGGTATTTCTATGCATTATGGTACACAGACTCAGAGCCACACCTACATTACTAGAGGCAGTAGACGACTAAAAAGAAATGCTCAAACTCATATGAAACCAAAAGTGCATGTTTTACGGTAATAACTAATAACCAAAAACTGATAACTAGAGTATTGAAAAAGCGAGGATTATAGTCATAGAAATAACATAGTTTAAGTAAAAGAAGAAGAATAGCAAGTTTACCCATAGAAATTAACGATTTTGTACAACTTAGTTACTTAAAAGAAAACGTTCACCAAAATGAGGTGATACCCCCTATTACCCTGTCTTCTGGTATATTTGTGTATCATTAATTAATTCCATCACGGAGCAACAGTACTGTTAAATCACAATTATTTTATTTTTTTTCTTAGAAAAATATATTTAATTCACACTAATTGTTAAAAGAAATATATATGGAAAAAATTCAACATGCACATGCAATGATATGAGTATACGTATACTTGGAGTGGCCTTTCAACTTTAGTTTCTAGGACTAGTAAGCTCATTTTGCTGAACCTTACTAGTTTCTAGGACTAGACATTCGTGTTTCATACTCCTAAACTGCTTATAATATGTGATTGATGGAGTATTAGTTATGATTTTTTTTTATAAAGATATTAGTTATGGTTTTAGAGATGTCTTTTAACCTGAAAGTTGAAACACATTCAAATATATTTCTAGAATGACAACTAATATAGAATTGAGAGATTATTATATTAAATTTGTTACTTTAAAAGAAAACTTTCAACTACCACATTAAATTAGCACAAAAAGAAAACATTTTCATCACAGCATCAAACTATTAGTCACGATAATAAACCTTCTATAAACCTTTCCTCAAATTTTCAACAAATTTGTTAAAGATCAAGAAATTTGCTAAACTGAAAATAGTGCTGAGAATATCAAAACTTACATTTACAAAAAATTGGTTACATATAGTTTTTCATAGTATTTTCATTTAGTAATTTTTTAATGCAATTCGCAGTAGAGAAGAATTTATAAAATTAATTATTAAATATCTAAACTCTATATACCCCATTTACATATTAATTCGTTTTTTTTGAAATTGTTAATTCAATATCAAAGTAAAAAAAAAAATCGTCAGTACATTGCAATAAAAAAGCTTAGAAGTAAGCGCTGCGATCTTCTTCGTGTTTCGCCGGAAGTCAGAGCCTCAGAGGTCATGACAACGGCAGCTCCGTTACGTTAAATCGGAAAATAAAGTACAGTAACTGAATAGAATATAATCACAAGAAACCACTTCAAAAAGGTGCAAATAAAAAAAATGGTCTTCCGCTTTTATCTTCCGATGTTGTCGATGAACGCCGGAGCCAAATCTTGTTCACGCTCGCTCTCATCACTGTCTTCGCTCTTCCAACCGAAGACCCAAAAACAGAATGTACACAGCGAGCTTGAAGTTAAGGTTTGGCGCGAATGCAAAACCGGAAAACTAAATCTCGAAGATGCTCTGATTTACTTCGACAAACTCGTAGAGACAAGACCGTTGCCTCTGATTATCACTTTTAATCACTTGCTCGGTTCGGTAATGAAGCTTAAATGCTCCAACGAAGTGATTTCGATGTACAAGAGGATCAAACACGAAGGCATAAACCCTGATTTGTGCACGTCGAACATTCTCATCAACGCATTTCGCCAATTGGAGAGAATCGATTACGCGTTTTGCGTTCTGAGTGATGTCATGAAGAGAGGAATGGAGCCTGACTCGGTAACAGCTGATTGCTTGGTGATTGGTTTGTGTTCTCAAACGAAAGTAATAAATGCACTCAAAGTGTTCGACGAAATGTCTGAGAGAGGGATCAAGAGCGATGTTTCACTCTACAAGATTCTCATCAGCAAGCTCTGTGCGATTGGGGAAACAAGAAAGGCTCTAGATTTGCATCGGAGGATGATTCTTGCTACAGATTGCAAAGGGAATGTGACCACTTACTGCTCTATAATCAGTTCCTTTGTTAGAAGCAAATCAATCGACGAAGCGGTCGCAGTGTTAATGGAAATGACGTCGAACGGAGTTTCGCCGAATGTTTACGTTTATGAAATGGTTATTCATGGACTGTGTACCTCAGGGAGGTTGGAGGAGGCGAGGAAGTATGTTGATGAGATGGTTTCTCGAAAGATCTCTCCTGGTCTGTTCGTTTACAACTCTTTGATCAACGGTTTATGCAAAGAAGAACTGTGGGAAGATGTTGCAGAGATGATGAAAGAAATGGTGAGGAAAGGAGTGTCACCGGATGTTTGCACTTACAACACTCTGATTGGTCGTCTCTGCAAAGCAGAGAAGCTGAACGAAGCGATTGCTGTGTATGACTCGATGCTTAACCGAGGTGTGGAGCCGGATTTGCAGACGTATAACACGCTCTTGGACGGTTTATCAACAGGGTCCAGGCTTGAAGACGCGGCGAAGTTGTTTGAATTGATGAGGAATGGCGGCGAGATTGAGCTTAGTGTGGTCACTTACACTATAATGATAAGTGGGTATTGCAAGCATGGAGAGCTTGAGGAAGCTATGGAGCTTCTCAGAGAGATGGAATGTAAAGGGTTGGAGCCGGATAGTTATACATACACGACGCTGATATGCGGTGCGAGCCAGGGAGGGAACTGTGACGTTGCTCAAGAGATCTTTGACGCAAGTGGTCGTGCTTCCAAGGCAAACGTGATCCAGTTCAGTGCTCTCATCGATGGTCTGATGAAGAGTGGGAGATCAGAAGATGCAAAGAGACTCTTTGATGAGATCTCTGAGAAAGGTTTGGTGCCTGACACCATTACTTACAATATCATGATCCGTGGGTATACTAAGCATGGGAAGCTAGAGGAAGCCATTGAGCTTATAAGACGCATGAAACGTGAAGGTCTGAAGCCAAACAGTTACACATACACTTCACTGATACACGCTTCTTGCCGAGCTGGAGATTCAGCTACTGCACAAGAGATCTTCAATGCAATAAGCAAGTGTGGTCAGTCTCCTGATATATTTCAGTTCAATGCTCTCATCAATGGTCTGATCAAGAATGGGAAACTGGGTGAAGCAAAGAGACTCTTTGATGAGATCCAGGACATGGGACTTGTGGCGGATATGGTAACGTACAACATTATCATCGACGCTCTCTGCAAACATGACATGATATCAGAAGCCAGAGCGTTGTTCTACGAGTTGGAGCCAAACGGTTATTCGCCTGATCCTGTTTTGTTCAACACTCTTGTATACGGCATCCTTCGGTTAAGCAAGGTGAAAGATGCAGTCCCGCTTCTTAAGAGCATGCTCGAGAGGAAATTCACCCTGCAAGATGGTGTCAAACGCAGACTGCGTCGATTTCTTGCTTGTAAAGCTCTAAAGCCTCTTATAAAGACTTACGGGAAGAGCGTTTTCGAGTGAAATCATGTAGCAGTCGTTGAGTCTCCAAGTATGTAAAGATTCTGATTTTCTTTTCATATGATAACAATTCTAACTGTAACGTCTTTGTATGGTTTTTTTTCTCAATGGTATTTTTTTTTTTTCTTTTTCGTTGCAATCAATACAATCGTTCCTATGTACATAGAACATGAAAGAATCACTGTTAAAGGTGGAGAACAGAGGAAGCATCAGGGTGAATAAGGGCTGTTATGTTTGCTAGGCAAAGGAGTGTTCCTCCATGAGCCACGCTTAGTGGCTACTAACTCAGGTAACTTATCAGGCTTCTCCACGGCCATCTCTAGCTCTAGATTCTCTCCAACCCTGAACTCCGGGTGGGCGTACGCATTTCTAAAGAAAGCCTTGAGGTTTAGGTCTGGCTCTCGTGTGCGTTCCAGTGTATCTTTGATCATGGCTTCCTGGTAAGACAAAGGTACAAAGATGTTACTGCTTTCGCTCGAAACATCGAAAAGGTAAGCTTACACGTTTCACCCAAAAGAGTCTAGAGATCCTCAGTTACTTTGACTAACCTGTAGAGGGTATGTGACAAAAGCAGGTTGGTAACGGCCTTTGCAGTGGATGTGGAACCCAATGGTCAGCACCGGAAGCACAAGAAGCAAAGGAGTGGACTTAGAAGCTTGTTTGGTGCTTAGAAGACCCATCAAGAGCAGCTGCGAAACGATCAGTGCGGTCACAACACGCCTGTGAACATCAGGCCAGAACTTCCCTGCACTCTCATACTTTTGGTTGTACACATTTATGACCTGCAAAATGAAGCTTTCACTGTTAACTTAACGATGCTCATGCTCGAGCGTTGGAGGAAAAAAGAAGCAGAGGATTGAGTGATCTCACCTGATGACGGTACACTACATAAGCCAAACCGAAGAAGACGATGATGAAGGGAAGAAGGATGGGGCTGACTGCTGCGTAAACTAGACCGAGAAGGAAGTAGAGTTGTATTTGAGGCTCTCCAGTGTTGAATCCAATGGTTCCAGGATCAGTTGCTTCTTCTCTATCTTTCTCTGTTCTCACGAGGAAAGAGTTCTTTAAGTGATAGATTATGAGCGGCTTCAACCTCAGAATCTCCCCAGCAACACCTGCCCATCCATCCACCATTATGTATGTTATAAAGAAGGTCGCTTTCATAGGAATGGAGACGCCAATTGTCTTTGGAATACTGCAGGAAAAGAAAGTCAGAAAGATATGGGACTGACTTCTCGGTGAAACGCAGACAAGAGGAGGGTCTAGAGAGACATACTCGTTTGCAGACTGGTTAAGGAATTTGTTGAGCTGTTGAAACGCAGTTCCAGTGACTATGCTTCCGAGGAAAACGTTGATGAACTGGAACATGTAGAACCTACTTGCGGCTCTTCTTTCTAATGAGGACGTGCTGACAAAACCTTCGAACTTGGACATTTGCATCAATATTCTTGGGAGGAACATGAGAAAGATCTTCAATGCGATACCAGGAAGGAAACCTTGGATGATCGACTTTAACAATTTCCTGTTCATAAAAAAACGTAAGAGGCTCTCTTATCAACGGGAGAGAGCAAATTGATAGATTCTTGGAGACATACACTTCTATGAGTGGCTTCAAGAAAGGGAAAGCCTTCTCTATCCCTTCGATGTTGGCGAGTGACTGTACAAAAGCTATTGGGATCATGAAGAAGAAGGTGAGGAAGAAGTAAGCGACGGCTACAATGATCCTTCTAATCTTAAGGTCGACGTACGGCAATGCAAGATTGTCATAGTAGATGTCACGTGGCTCTGCAGCCCACTCGGTTAGCCATTCCGTTGGGTCTCTTGACTGTTGAGTTTGAGCACAAACCGCTGCTCCCCAGCGGCTCTTGAAAGATACAAAAGCTGCAGGCACTATGGACTTTGTGCCGGTCCTTAACTTATCTTTCTCCTCAATTATCTGTAACATTTAAAGTAAGTTTGATTAAAAATGTTTCAAATGAGGCTTAGAGTAGAGTAGTTGAGATTAAGGTTTTACTTCTCTTGTTAGACTCTCGACCATGGATGTGTAGTACTTGATTCCATCAACTTCTTCACCGCAACAGCCAAGAAAACCCATCTGCTTGCAGATTTTGAAAGTGAGTCTTAAAAAGAGAAACAACAAAAGGAGAAACTTCAGCTTTTACTTATGCAAATGTGAGTTTTGTTTACCTTTATCACTGGCCTTTTAGATAGCGTTCTTGTGTGTTTGTTGAGATTGTAATCTAGCAGGTTCTGCATTTGTTTCCTCGTCTGAACCAGTTCAGAGAGTTTGCTTGCATCGTGGACTGCCTGAGTTAAAACAGATCAAGAATCGTCAACGCAGAAACCAAACCAGAGATTGATACATTAGAAGCCACAAAATCCCAAAGATGATGATTTTACCTGGAAAGTGAGGTAGTGATCTGGATGGTTGACTTTAAAGAAATGCTCAACAAGTTCACAGATTGATTCATGAGGATCTGTAGGAATGTTTCTTACCAGCACCTAACAAATCACAAAATCAAACAGGTTTCAGCTACAAGAAGGAGCTAGAGTGATTCTATCAGAGATCAAAACACTTCAAGAGGTGATCCTTACAGTGAACTGGTTAGGTCTCCTTTCATCATTTGCAAGAAATTGTAGCCTCATTAAAGCTATATTCTGGTACTCTCTTTTCAGCATAAAGCATGTCCAGAAAGTGATTACATAGGCCATACACAAATGCACCCAAAATCTACTGAAACATGAAGACCAATGAAACAATTACATTCAACATTACACACTATTGGAAACAAAGAAAAAAAGCCACCAAACTTGGACAAGTATTCTCTTACCTTGGTGATCCATTTGGTATATTTGACAAAGACAGTTTATCAATATCACTGTAACTTATATTCGAGTGCTTTAACCCATCCAACCCCTTGTTTGTCCAATTAACAGGGACCATTGCTGTAAAAGCAACACAAGCTATGGGGAAAAAGATCTTGAGTCTGCAAGTTTTTCATCAAAAAAAACCAAGGAAATTAAGAACTCTTAAAACCAGAAGAAAAGAGAAGAGCTTTGGAGATTATAAATATATATATATATATATATATATATATATATATATATATATATATATATATATATATATACATACCCGAGTAAGTAGATCCTCAAGTAGACAACAGAATCTAGACCTGCGTGGTCTACAAGCTCAGGCTCTGGCATTTTAAGTGCTTCAGGCATCCAATTAAGGAATCTAACATAGGACCTGAAGTCTAGATTGATGAACTTGCTTCCAAAGCCACCGGTTTGTATAGAGCTTGTTCTTAAGCCCTTGATGTACCATTTAGGGAAATAGACTCTGTCGTTTACTGGTTGGATCCTGAATATTGCAAAAGCTATGAAGAAAGCGAATGCTGTGACTATATTGATTGCTGCTGCTACTCCAATATCGTTTATTGTAGCCATAAGAGTATACTGTTTTTATCTTCCTGAAGACAAAGAAAGATACAAAGAAATAAGAAACAGAGATTCAGACAAAACTGGGGAATCTTAGACTTTTAAAAGTTGAAAGAAATGTCGGAAAAAAAAAAAAACTGAACTTTCTCTGTCTTTGTTTTACCCAAAGAGTATCCAAACAGAAACCATTGGTCACAGTCACAAAGAACACTCAAAGAAACCAGATTCTCTGAAAAAGTTAAGTGAAGAAACAAGCTTTGGTAAAAAAACAAAAAACAAAAACCAGATTCACTTTCATTACCTTCTAAAAGAGCTAAAAGACAAAGCTATCTTGTTCTTGTAAGTAAGATTTCAGCTGAGCGGAGACAGAACAGAAGCAGAACTAGAAGAACGAAGAAGAAGAAGACGAAGAAAAGTTGAGTATCTTGAGATTTAATGAGGGAAAAAAACAGATTTTTTCTTGCCGGGTTTTTAGGAAATATGTCCGAAATATACATTCGACGAAAAGATTACTGCGAATTCATATTGTTTAAAGAGATCCGTGAAGGCAAAAAACTGTTGCGCACTTGGCAAAACGTGAGCCTTCTGTATTTCACTATTTATTACAGAGAAAAATAGAGAAAAAGAAAAGAAAAAATATTCAAGATGCTCTTTGGTATGAAAGAGACTGATGAGTAAATCAAAACCGTGACAAAAGAAGATGACAAGAAATAGTAAGCACTAATGAAATTGGAGGAGTGTGCGTGTTTTGGAATTGTCTCCTAACGTTTATTTTAATTTTATGAAATTGGAATTATTTTTCGTTTTGTCCAGTGCGTAAACTAGTGGCTATGATCGTTTATGGGCTTTCTTGATTTAAATTCTAATGTGAAAATACGTGGAAAATATAAAGTTTATCATTATGGACCTACCATGAAAAAAAAAGACGGTTAAGTTAGAGGAAGTGTGAACACTGAACATGTTCAGAAAATATCACAACCACTATTTCGATATTTTCTGATTTTCTTATAGTTTTTTTTTCGGTGGATAATTCAAAAATTATTAAAGTCGAGGGTCCAAATATACTTTTTGACAATATAAAATTTTGGATTTCCATACTGCCAATCTGCCATGCATTCCCGTATTTTAGCGTGGTGGATTTTGCCAAAATACTTTCTAGATTTTTCAGAATTATTATCGTGACTGCTAAGATATCGATTGTTTTTAATATATTTATTTTGTACGTATTCTCTAGGTCATACTCTCTAACATAAACTTTAGATGTTAATTATTGATGTGCAAATTTAGGTTGCATATAAACTTCTTCCCAGACTTGTTTTTATTGGATATAGTAGTCCGGTTATATCCGGTTTGATTATTTGGGATTAGTTAGTTTCCTTTAGCTACTAATCTTGTTGTATATAAGTGACATTGTACACTCAATTTACAATTAATGAAAAATATAATTCACACATTTAATATGGTATCAGAGCACAAACAAACTTTCCGCTGATTTTCTCATTCTTTCTCGCTTACTTTCCCGGTCACTTTCTCAGCTTTTCTCAGCTCAATTTATTCGATTT